AAAAAAAAAAAAAAAAAAAAAAAAATTAGGATTGGTTGGGCCGGCCCGGTGGCGCACTGCTACAGTGCACCGCTTGGGAGCGCGGCGGTGCTCCCGCCGAGGGTTCGGATCCCACATACAGACCGGTTCCCGCTCACTGGCTGAGCGAGGTGCGGGTGCAGCACTGAGGGTTGCAATCCCGTTGCTGGTCCCGGTCCGGTACGGGCGCGACACTGAGGGTTGCGATCCGTTGCCGGACACGAAAAAAGACAAAAAAAAAATATTAGGATTGGTCCAGATTTCAAATTGTTGCTGTGAGACATGGCTGTTCAATACCCAATTAATGGTGGATTGAATCTAAACTTGGGAACAATTTCCGGCTTTTTGAATTATAAAATTTGAGATTAGTGGGAATGTTCTGGATCAATAATTTCTATCTTTCAGCCTATATGAGAAAGTGATGTACCTAAAAAGAAAACACTTATATCTTCCAATAAAAAGTAAAGTTCCAATGGCTAATACAATACGATTGATGTTTTACTATGGCATTTAATACCCTCACTGAATAATGAGTTATTAGAATTTTGGCTGAGCTGCCTAACCAGATAGGGTTTAGGAAAGTAGGATGGTATCAGGATAAATGAAAAGAAGAGATGGAAAAGAGAGCCAGGATTTTAAGACACAAAATTATAAAACCCAAGCTTTTAGAAATTTCAAGGCATCCATGGTACTTAAGATATTTTACTCTAACTTGAAATATATCACTTTGATACAATCAATTCTGTATAACTCCTGTTATTTACAGAATGGAAAGCAATCAACTAATGGGCAGCAAGGCTGACATTTAGCATAATTCAAAGCTGTTGTTCACCCATTGTGGTAAAGCGTGACAGATGGGAGCATAGAGTCAGCAAGTTGGGTTGGTGATTTACACACCCTGGAAGATTAGATTAAAGGCATTTTTATCAGCCTTCAGAGGGAAACCACTACCCACATTTCATTTTCATAAGGATAGCAAGACACAAAAGTGTGGCATTTGAATCTCCTCTTTGAAATATTTTTTACAAAAGATAAACATTAGAAAAAAAAAAGATTATCAACCAATAATCAAAAATTTACTAAGCCCCTCATATGCTCAGTACAGAATAAAACACTGTGAGATAGAAAATAATTTCAAGATATGGCCTCTGCCCACAGGGAGCTGACAGTCTTCTTGGAAAAACAATACTAACACATCCTAAAATATCTGTGACTATAAGACGATGCTAGACTCCTAAGTACTTGAGGAAGTCAGAAAACAGAGACGGATGGACTGGAGGAGACTTTATATATAGCTACAGCAATAGCTAACTTTTACTGAGCACATTGCATGTGGAAGGCATTGTGCTAAGAACTTTGCACACATGACTTCATTTCCTTTTCACACAAGCTCATGAGGTGGGTAAGTACTATCACCATTTTCAGAGGAAAAATATGAACAGAAAGTCAAGTTATTTACCCACAGATTCACAATAATTAAGTGGTAGAGGCAGGATTAGGGTACATGTACCTTGAAACCCAGACCTAAGACAGATAAAAGGGAAGGCCCCATGTATCTAAACTGGTGTTAATGGAATGATAATTTAAAAGGAGGGAAAAGTGACATAAAAGACGAGGTTACAAATGGCATAAGATGGCAAAGCATGTGCTCAAAACTCTTCATAATTACAATGCTCTTTTAAAAAGAGTATCAAGAGCATAGAAAGTGTTTTTTCATTCTCTGACCTTCTAAAGGCTTTTATGGCAATGTCTAGACTCACTTCAAAATTAATCATAGACCTTCATATTTTTAATGCTCTAAAAAAGGCAAGTCCATTAGATATGCGACACTCACCAACATCTTAAACACATTAAGATGAACTGAGTTGAACTAGAAGTCAAAAGTAACGAGTCCAGGCAATTACTTAGAAAAAGTTCTCTAAAATCAAAATGCATACACATCAATGTTGCCAACATTCCAAGGAAAAGGAAGAGTTTTATGACATTAAATGAAAAGTAACAATTTGAAAAGCCTTAGTCAAAAAAGGACAAGGTGAGGTGGGTTTCTCTCCATTCATATTGCAGTACACTCTTTGGGGCATCCTTGATCAATGGGTACACCTATGGGAACCACAGCATATTCAGTTAGTACCTCCATCTCAGGAAGAGAGACTTCTGTGGTCCTTGGTTCATCTACAGAGGCCTCATCATCAAACAACCGTCGACAGCAAACCAAGGTGAAAGGGGGTGGCACTTCTTTAAGAAAGGAGACTGCTTCTCGGCGAGATTTTCCATAGAGTTGCACACCATTGACCTGGGAAGATAGAGGATAAGTCAAAATTGAGGAGGCCCCAAGTGAAAAAACAAAACTCTCTTGCTTACACTAATCTACCAAAATGAAAATAGGACATCATTCTATTCTCCCTGTAAACAAAGGGCCTATATTTAATCAGATTATTTTAGTAGTAATTAAAACATTAGAAATCCTTGAAATTTATAAAAATTAATGCTAAATCTTTACTGAACTTGGGTGAGTAAAGTATAAAATATACGCAGAGTACAACTATTACCGGGTAAGTGATCTACTTAATTTTTCACACCTCTATGGTCTCTCCTTTCAATATTTCAGTGTTATATTCTCTCACCTACTTCTACCATCCCTCCTTAAACACTTGAAATATTATGTAATGCCTTCTTAAGACTGTGTCCTTTTGCCTTTTCATTTCATAGGAATATCACTATAGACACTAAATTCAAGGCTGTTAAAACTGCTTAACTTATAATGCGCACATACAAAAATCTAAGATACTCAAGAGTCAAAATTGAATGTTAAATTCAAAATATTTTTTCGCATACCATCCTAGAAAAATGACTTCTATTGAGAAGAGATACATATAACTTTGCATTAGTTTCATTCGTTTACACTGTGCTGATACAGCCATCAAGTATGTAGGAAGTGTGTCAGTTTTCAAATTATTTTACACAAGTGTCCCATATGTTTAAAAGAAAAAATACGGGCCGGCCCGGTGGTGCACGAGGTAGAGTGCAGCACTTGGGAGTGCAGCGGCGCTCCCGCCAAGGGTTCAGATCCCATATAGAGACCGGTCCGCTCACTGGTTGAGCATGGTGCGGGCGCGACACCGAGGGTTGCGATCCCATCACCAGTCACGAAAAAAGACAAAAAGGAAAAAAAAAAAAAAAAAAGACAAAAAAAAAAAAAAAAAAAAAAAGAAAAAATACATAACTATTCCTTATTCAAGATGAATCCTTACTACCAAAAATTATATAAATTCCATATTATTTGTGTGCATAATAATAATACTTTGCACCGAAGATGATTGAGAAAGCTAATCTATTATAATTTCTCATATGTATGACTTTAGCTCAAACAGTTCTCTCAGTTTTGAGTGCAGGTCATGTACAGCATGGATTGATTGAACTGTGTCACCCATATATACAGTATATATAATATATAAAGTTCGTATACTAGAAGTTTAATCCCCACTGTAATTGTTGAGGGTAGGAAATCCTATTATGGTAATTGAAACGTGAGGCCTTCAAAAGGTGATTAGATTGTAAGACCATGTTATTGTGAATGGATTAATAATGATGGTCCTGGGTGTGGTTCTGTGGTAAAGGAGATCACATGAGGAGGTTAGTTTCTGCTCCACCATTTTCACACTGTGATACTCTGCTGTTACTGAAGTCATCACCAAAGAAAGCCTTAACCAGATGTGTTCCCTGGATTATGTACTTCAGCCTCTGAAATATAAGTGATAAATTCTGTTGTCTTCTTTTTTTATTGGTTATGAATATTTATGGAATACAAAGCAAACTGTCACCACTTGTACCTAAGATGTGATGGCCAGATCCATACTGGCAGCATGCCCATTACCACAAATTGTGATTATAACCTGTGTCCCCTACCCAATTATCCCAGACCTCCCTCAACATCCACCTTTCCTCACTCCACTTTGTATCTCTAGGTATGTTCTCTCCCTCTGCAAGTGCAAAACACCATTGTGGTCTTTCTTTCCTCCCTTCTTTTTCTCTTAGCTCCCACTTATGACTGAGTACATATGGTATTTATCCCTCTGTGCTTTGCTTATCTCACTCAACGTAAGTTTCTCCAAGCTCGTCCATGTTGTTGCAAATGTGAGAATTTCATTCTTTTTTATAGCAGAGTAGTATTGCATGATGTACAGATACCACATCTTCCTTATCCAATTGTCCACTGATGGACATTTAGGTTGGTTCCATATCTTGGCTATTGTGAAGAGAGCTTTGATGAACACGGGAGTGCAGGTATCCCTTCGACATGATGATTCATTCCTTTGGGTATATACCCA